GTTTCATCTCCGCCATATTGTTAACTCCTCACTGTAGGTCTTTGTGTTTAGGGTCAAGTGCTAGTCGTGCTAGTAGGACACACCAGCCTGAGCTAATAGGATGTTCACAGATATATCCACTCAATGAATGAATTCCAGAGAAATACCTTAACTCATGTCAGATCTCAATCTTTTCTACATTTTTCCTTTTCCAAATCCATTTTAATGGCAGCATCCCTGTTCTCTCTCATCAATCTTAGGTCTTTAGGATGAAGTAAGAGGAAAGCATTCTTCCTATCAAGACTGCTGATTCTTCGCATTTTGTATTTCTTCCCCTGTAGATTCATCCTCTGAGAGCTGATTCTTTGTAGCAAGAGATATCTGTCTTTTTGCCCTTCCCTTAAACCAACTTCAGCACGCCAAGGGCCAGAAGCTGTTAGCTGGATTTCATTTATATACTTAATTAACCAGCTTCTCTTCAGGGTAGAACTCCACTTACGTTTTTAGTCTTTTGCTTCTCAGGGGCAGTGACTGAATAAGAGAGTAGTTAAAGAATACAGAAGTTTTTTTTACGGAGTCAGCCAATTATATATCCAGAGATTTGAATGATTTCTTAGTGACTGTATCCTCTAGTTTTATCTGATGATCATGACAACGGCAAGCTTTTATTTGGGGCTTACTGTCATGGCTGTCGAGTAGCCACCGAGGTGATTTTACATGCGTGACCGTGTACTTGCACTCCCATGTAGCAGCTCCGCGAGGAAAGCCGATCGTTGCTATTTGGTAGGCGATAACATTGACCCTGAAGAGGATGCATGTTGGCCTGATGTCTCACCCAGAGGACTGCGGTCGCATCCTTCTCTTGGGTTTCATGTTCACACTGGTCTCAGCCACTTTCAAGGCTCTCAGGACGCTGTGGCTGATTGAAAAACAGTCCTGCAGAACCATTTGTGATTCATTCCCCTATCAATGCAGGTGTTGAGTATGCACCCTCCCATATAGGTTTGTCGCTGTGCCTTTGTGTATGTATAGTACTTTACTGTTATGTTAGGTACAGGACAAAACATTCACAGAACGAGAAATGTTGATGGCATTAGCTAACATGATAGAAACTATATGTGATTTTTTTTTAAATGAATAGCACAAAAGAACATTTTCAGCAAAACTTTCTTTTCCCATGTGTTTTAGAGAGGGCTGGGTGTTTAAATATGCTCCAATTTTTTTTTAAATTGTGGTTTGTTCTTGTGTAATCTAGTAATTTGAAAATCTTCTTTTAAATTCATATCATTTTGATACTGTGAACATATATAAGGAGAAACCTCACTAAAGTGGACGTGGGATACCAGAAGGGAGGCTGGTGGGTGAAGCTGTCCCACTCAATGTCAGTCACAGAAAGAATGATCAATTACAGCTTGAACAGAGGAATCCTCAACAAGAAACACTCACCAATTACAGGCCCCAACAGGGAAAGATGTACTCTGCATCTTCTACTACAAACCTACCTCCCCTGCAACTCAGCCAATGAGAAACCATCTTCATTCTGGACTTTTGCGTTTCTCCAGTGGACTTTTGTTCAAAACAACCCCTCCAACTTCCTCCTTCTTCTCCGTAAAATAACGTCCCTCTCTTTTCTTTGTTGGACTTGCCTGTGGTTTTGCTGTAGCTCGCTTCTCCTGGACTGTGATTCTCTGCTATTCCCGAGTCAGTCCATTTTTGCTGGTAGAATGACTGGCAGTTTTATTTTATTTTATTTGTTTTTAGATTTTATTTATTTATTTTGAGAGACAGAATGAGAGAGAGAGAGAGAGAGAGAGCATGAGAGGGGGGAGGGTCATAGGGAGAAGCAGACTCCCGGCTGAGCAGGGAGCCTGATGCGGGACTCGATCCCGGGACTCCAGGATCATGACCGGAGCCGAAGGCAGTCGCTTAACCAACTGAACCACCCAGGCGCCCCTGGCAGTTTTATTTTTAAGGTTAACAGTCCTCACCTTTAATTACTGTACCCAGACAAAGTTTTGTTATTGGCTATGTTTTTATCATAAGCATTCTTTCCTGCCACCCACCAGTGAGGTAAAGGTTTTTAACTGAAATTTAGCGTTTAGCTAATAGATGTAATCCATGATATTAACCGGTGGTTGTTGCAAACTAATTGAGTGTTTTGGCATCATCATCCTTTCAACTAATGTATTCAAACTTCGTGGAAACTGATTATGTAAAAGACTAGTACTGGTTGAAACCGTTTTTAAGTGCGAAGAAGGTGTTAACGTGAGATATTATGGATCTGTAGTTTTCTTGTCTGGCTTTTGTTCAGCTCTGGTATCACAGAAATACTTGGTCTCATGAAATTAGTTGGAACGCATTCTCTCCTATTTTCTGAAAAGTTTGCTCAGAATTGGTGTTGTTTCTTTCTCAAGTGTGTGTTAAGTTCACCAGTGAGGCCATCCAGTCCTACATATGAGAATATTTTTTTTTTAACTACAAATTATTTACGAGGAATAGGGCTGTTGAGGTTATTACTGTCTTCTTGAGTGAGCTTTGTATCTTTTAGAGTCTCTCCATTTTATCTAAGCTGTTAAATGTATTGGCATAAAGCTGCTCATAATCATATTTTTAATACTTTTAATGAATTTAAGGATCTGTAGAGATGTCCTCTGATTATTAGCACTGTTAAATTTGGATCTTCCTTTTTTTCTTGATCAGTTTGGCTAACAATCTGCCAATTAAATTGAACTTTTCAAAGGACCAGCTTTTCATTTAATTGATTTTCTATATTCTCTTTTATGCTGTTTCATTGATTTCCTCTTTTTTTTTTCTTCCCTTCTATTTGCTTTCACTTGATTTTGCTCTTTTCTTTCACTTTCTTAGGGTGAAAGCTTAAATCATTGGTCTACTTTCTTCTAGTTTTTAATGGGACAACTTAGATTACTGGTTTTAGACCACCTTCTGTAATACAAGCATTTAGTGCCATCAGTTTTCCTCTAAACAATGTTTCAGCCACATCCCACGAATTTTGATATGTTAGCTTTTTGTTCTCTACAAAAGATTATCTAATTTCCCTTTGTGACTTCATCTTTGACTCGTGTCTTACATAGAAACTTGTTTAATGTCCAAATATTTTTTCCCACATACCTTTCAGTTATTGATAGCTATTTTAATTCTTTTATCATCAGGGAACATATTTTGAATGATTTCAATTATTGTAAAATGTTTTAGAATTTTTTATAGCTCACAGACTCATGTTCTATCTTATTGAATGTTTTAGGTGCACTTGAAAATAATTTGTATTCTGCTATTTTGGGTGAAGTGTTATATAAATGTCAATTCAGTTAAGTTGCTTGATAGTGTTTTTGAAGTCTGCTGTATTCTACTTTCTGTCTACTTGTTCCATCTAACCTCAGTCTGTTTCTCTATGCAGTTCTATTAGTTTTTGCTTTATGTATTTTGAAGCTCTGTTATAAGATGCATACACATTTAGAATTATGTCTTGTGAATCAGTTGACCTACTTGTTATTATGAAATGTACCTAGTTATCTCTGAGACTCTCATTCCTTGTTTTAAAGCACACTTTTCTGCTGTTAATATAGCTAGCCCTACTTTTGATTGGTAGCTACAAAATACATGGTTTTCAATCCATTTATTTTTAACCTGCCTGAATATTATATTTAAAGTAAGTTTTGTGGAAGATAGTATCTAATTGGATATCAATTTTGTTTCTGTTTCATTTTTTCCATTCTGATGGTAGTCTCTAACTTGGGCATATTTATAATGTTTATAAAGCTTCTAGAAGGTCATGATATGCTAATTCCTTCATCACAGCCATGTCTCTCTTCATTTCTGTTGATTGCTGTTTTCTCCTGGACATGCGTTGTGTATGTCTGCTTATGTGTAGGCGTGGTAACTCTTGATTAGATGTCAGACACTGTGAATTTCACATCCAGCAGAGTGCTAGATTTTGCTTTTTTTTTTTTTTTCTAAGTTTTAACGTTGTCCTTGCACAGAGTTAAGATCCTTTGAATCTTCCTTTGAACATCTCAGGACTATTTCTCTTAAAGGTCAGACGCTCACAGTATTTGTTGTCTTTGTGAACAGCTTTAGCTGTTTGAAAAAAATGAGTGTGTCAGCCTTTTTTGTAACAATTAAGAAAGTAGGGACATCGCCTGATGCAGTTACTAAAACAGTAATGATTATATGATTATTTAAAATACTGCTTTAGATAATTAGTGTTGTGTGTGGATTTAGACTTTACTGTCATAGTCGGCAAAGGTTTCCAGGTGGAAAGTACTGTTGTGTTCAACACGTTTCTGATAACCAGCCCTCTCTCCAGTGGCTCTATGAATAATGGTATTCGCCTCCGTGTTCCCTGTACTTAACACTTAGAGTTACTGAGAGTGTGGGAGGTGTTCCTTCCATGTGATGTGTTGCTGCTGTAGCTCCGCCGCATTCAGCAAGGTCTGTTTCATCCTCTGTTCCCTTATCAGGTAGCGTTAACAGCTCTCCTTCAGCTCTGGCCTTTGTCCTCTGCTTCTGGTAGAAGCCCTTTCAGGATTTCCTCTCCCTGGCAGTGACGAATGCCTGAATTGCTTTCAGTAGCATGGTGAGTTTTCTCAGAAAACACCAACAGCATAATCATTGCATATTCATTGCTTCCGAAAACAAAACAAAACAGAACAAACCATGGCCCACCAAGTGCAGAGGTACCTCCCTGGGCTTACTCTGCCTGGCTTCCACATTTCAGCAAAAGAGGACCGGCAAACAAAGCAGTATTTCTTTCCGGTGAAATTGCCTTCTGTTACTCTTGGAAATGCTATAGGGAAGCCCTGAATTGCTTTTTGAGTTTTGTTTTGAGTAGGTGTATTTCAGAGCCCCTAGCCCTCCCGTTCAGGTCATGTGTGTCAGATCAGATTGTTCCTGAGAATAGGTGGCAGAGAGTCAAGGTCCCAGAGCTAGCACGGCATCCCCAGGAGGCCTTGTGGCCCTGTGCCTCCTCCACCTCCCTGAAGGCTTTTGCTTCTCTTCCCTAGGCGTGGAGAAACTCATCCACCACCTGCAAAAGCATGGTGTGCCCTTGGCCGTTGCCACCAGCTCTGGCCGTGCATCGTTTGAGATGAAGACCAGTAGACACAAGGAGTTCTTCAGCTTGTTTGACCACATCGTTTTGGGAGATGACCCCGAAGTGAAGAGTGGGAAACCAGATCCCGACATATTTCTAGCCTGTGCGAAGAGATTTTCTCCTCCTCCTCCCATGGAGAAGGTAAGGCCAGCAGTGAGGAGAAGTGGCGGCAGCAGCCCTCTTGCCCGGTGCAGCCTCCGGGCGGGGTTTGTCCATGACTGGAGGGCCTCGTGTCCGCTGTGGGAGGGCCACCATGGAGAGCAGGGCCGTAGGGTGGCCCTGGGAGAGGGACACGGTCAGATCATGTCAGTTTGTGGGAGGGAGCATGTGCACCCGCGTCAGCAGGTCAGCGATCCGGGATGCACAGATGGTATGTTAGAAAGCTTATGTTTGACGGAACACTGCCCAGTGGACATTCTGCAGGGAAGGGGGCTGTACTGATGTGGGAGGGCAGCGTCCTTATTCGCAGTGAGCAGCCTTCAAAGAACATATTGATAACAACACAGGTGTCAATCATCAAAACTCACGGTGCCCCCCCTCCAAATGCTTGTTGAGGGGTATCTTGTTATTGCAAGGTTTTTGCTCATAGTGACCTTTGGTTTTATCATGAAGTTTCCAGGTTTCTGTTTTTCTGCAGGACGGGGGCACTGGTGGAATTTGTGCTCCAGTGCCCTCTGCAGCCTGTGTACAATACTTCATCATGCAGGGCGCACAGTGGACATGGAGCAAAAGGTGACAGCGACCTGGAAGTATGTTTAGAGCCGGGGGATAGTGTTTGTTCAGCTTTGCTTCGGATTCTCCTCCCTGTACTGTTACTGTTGGGATGGATAGCTTAGCCTCCACTGCCTGCTTATGCAGATTCCAGCGAAAGAGGGAGACGGTCTTGAGAGGGGGCGGGCTGAGGTCTGACTGTGTGCCCCTGCAGATTCCAGAACACCAGCGAGACGGTCTTCAGAGGGAGGGGGCTGAGGTCTGACTGTGGGCCCCTGCAGATTCCAGAACACCAGGGAGACGGTCTTCAGAGGGAGGGGGCTGAGGTCTGACTGTGGGCCCCTGCAGATTCCAGAACACCAGGGAGACGGTCTTGAGAAGGGGCAGACTGAGGTCTGACTGGGTGCCCTGCAGATTCCAGAACACTGGGGAGACGGTCTTGAGAAGGGGCAGGCTGAGGTCTGACTGTGTGCCCCTGTGGATTCCAGAACACCAGGGAGACATTCTTGAGAAGGGACGGCCTGAGGTCTGACTGTGTGCCCTGCAGATTCTAGAACATCAGGGAGACGGTCTTGAGAGGGGGCAGGCTGAGGTCTGACTGTGTGCCCTGCAGATTACAGAACACCAGGGAGACGGTCTTGAGAAGGGGCAGGCTGAGGTCTGACTGTGTGCCCCTGAGGATTCCAGAACACCATGGAGACGGTCTTGAGAAGGGGCGGCCTGAGGTCTGACTTGTATGCCCTGCAGATTCCAGAACACCAGGGAGACGTTCTTGAGAAGGGGCGGCCTGAGGTCTGACTGTGTGCCATGCAGATTCCAGAACACCAGGGAGACGGTCTTGAGAAGGGGCAGGCTGAGGTCTGACTGTGTGCCCTGCAGATTCCAGAACACCATGGAGATGGTCTTGAGAGGGGGTGGGCTGAAGTCTGACTGTGTGCCCTGCAGATTCTAGAACACCAGGGAGACGGTCTTGAGAAGGGGCGGGCTGAGGTCTGACTGTGTGCCCCTGAAGATTCCAGAACACCGGGCAGACGGTCTTGAGAAGGGGCAGGCTGAGGTCTGACTGTATGCCCTGCAGATTCCAGAACACCAGGGAAACGGTCTTGAGAAGGAGTGGGCTGAGGTCTGACTGTGTGCCCCTGAAGATTCCAGAACACCAGGGAGATGGTCTTGAGAAGGGGTGGGCTGAGGTCTGACTTGTGTGCTCCTGCAGATTCCAGAACACCAGGGAGACGGTCTTGAGAAGGGGCAGGCTGAGGTCTGACTTGTGTGCCCTGCAGATTCCAGAACACCAGGGAGACGGTCTTGAGAAGGGACGGCCTGAGGTCTGACTGTATGCCCTGCAGATTCCAGAACACCAGGGAGATGGTCTTGAGAGGGGGCCGGCTGAAGTCTGACTGTGTGCCCTGCAGATTCTAGAACACCAGGGAGACGGTCTTGAGAGGGGGCGGGCTGAGGTCTGACTGTGTCCCCCTGCAGATTCCAGAACACCAGGGAGACGGTCTTGAGAAGGGGCAGGCTGAGGTCTGACTTGTGTGCCCTGCAGATTCCAGAACACCCCCAGGGAGACGGTCTTGAGAGGGGGTGGGCTGAGGTCTGACTGTATGCCCTGCAGATTCCAGAACACCAGGGAGACGGTCTGGAGAAGGGGCGGGCTGAGGTCTGACTTGTGTGCTCTGCCGATTCCAGAACACCAGGGAGATGGTCTTGAGAAGGGGCGGGCTGAGGTCTGACTGCCCTGCTGATTCCAGAACACCAGGGAGACGGTCTTGAGAGGGGATGGGCTGAGGTCTGACTGTGTGCCCTGCTGATTCTAGAAAGACGTGGGGATTGAGTCGAGAGGCTCAGGTTTCTGTTGGTGCCGTTGTGTGCTGGCGGCCGGGAGGGCATTCCTCCGGATGACAGGGGTTCCTGTGTTGTTGTTGGTTCCTGTTTTTAGGGACTTTGGGTTAGAATTAGTTCAGGGAAGAACATTTCATGACAGTTCTTTTCTAGCTCTCTCCTCCCCTCCCTCACAGAGAGCCAGAGATGTGACGCCGCCCTTTTCTGACACAAATCACAAGCACAGTTCAGATCGCAAGACTTACTCAAAAACCTGCTTCCAAATGAAGCTGAGGGGCTGGGGCATGTTTCATTGATCTGTTATTGTGTTTGTTGTATAGTGTTTTGTTTGGCTCGGGGTCCAACTTACTGACCTGACCCTGCGAAGGCAGTAAACATGTGTGAGTCAGGTGCTCCTCTCTGATCCTTGACACCAGCAGGCCATCGCGCACTTCAGTTCATTCCTGACACCAACCGCCAGAAGGACGCAGTGCGCACCCCTAGCTTCAGGACAGTCTCACACAGTGCCCTCGCCTCCGGTGCCATCCGAAACTGGGCTGTCCATGCCACCCAGCTTCCTGCCTAGTCAACTACAAATTTGGGGGGGTTCTTAGGCCCCTTTTGTCTGTTTCAGTAATTCACTAGAATGAGTCACAGCACTCAGGGAAACATTTTACGTGTGTTTTCTGATTTCTTACGAAGGCTACAACTCAGGAGCAGCCCCGTGGAAGGGATGCTTAGGGCAAGGCATGGGTGGCTGGGGGCATGGAGCTCCCATGCCCTCCCGGTGCCCCTGTCCCAGTTTCTCAATGTGTCCCTCAACCCAGAAGCTCTGAGAACCTCATTCTTGAGGGGTCTGACTGAAGGTTTCATTACGTAGGCATTATTCATTAAATCATTGCCCACTGGTGATTAAATCACTGCGTCTGGAGATTGGGGTTAGGGCTGGAAGTCCTGTCCCTCTAAGTGTGTCTTGGTCTTTCTGGAACCCATCCCAAAGCTGTGTAAGCAATCACGGATAGTCACATGATCAGCAGAAGCTCACGAATGGGGCTCATCACGAATAACAAAAGATAGCTCCAAGGTTGCTCAAGAAATTCCAAGGGTTTTAGGACTTTTATGCCAGGAGCCAGTGACCGAGACCAAACATACGTTTTTTTAATAACATCACCGCCGTAAGGGATCGTTGAGTGATAGCAGTACCATTGATAGTGTGTCAGTACACATACTTGGGCTGGTTTGAATCTCATCACTGAATCCAGCTTGATGGCAGCTGTACGATGAGGGACGAGCCCACAGTCGCCGGGCCCCTGAGCCAAAGAGTGAAAGAGGAGCCCCTTTCCAGGGCTGCCGGCACAGATCTGGGGTGCAGCGTGTATCGGGGCATCGATATGCCCGCATGCTTGGCATCCTCCTACAAATTCCACGGGAATGTCTTCTTTTTCCTAAGAACCTCGCTTCCTGAAGTGCTCTGTACCTTCAGATGATGAAGCCCTCCTGCTAGGAAAGCCATTTTCCTTGTTGGGTGCACGTTGCTATTGATTCACAAGTGACATGAAGCTGCCACACTGCACAGACTGGTTCCCAGAGCCGTTCAGAGTCTGCAGGCACCTACTTTCAGTAGGATCTGAAGGGGCTGATAAAGATTACCTAGGATATTGGCCCTCACATGAGCTGCTTTTATGGTGGAGGCCATTAAAGGGAAAACATACTACGTCTCTTCCCATGATAGCCATCCTTCCTTTGAAAGGCACCGTATCAATGGAAACGTGGCAGGAGATATTAATCTTGAAGCCATTGTATTTTGCTCAGTGGTTGTGAGAGACAAACGTGTTTTATTCATTTTTTAATTTTTTTTTTTAAGATTTTATTTATTTGTGAGAGAGAGAATGAGAGACAGAGAGCACGAGAGGGAGGAGGGTCAGAGGGAGAAGCAGACTCCCCGCTGAGCTGGGAGCCCAATGTGGGACTCGATCCCAGGACTCCAGGATCATGACCTGAGTCGAAGGCTGTTGCTTAACCACCTGAGCCACCCAGGCACCCAAACAAACGTGTTTTAAAGCATGTGGGGAAACAGTTTATAGGGAAAGCACACGCTTGCCCTCATACCTGCTTTGCATGAGGCCATTTGCAGTGACACCGTGCAAAGCGAAGACACAGCTGCATAGTGAACACAGAGCTCCAGAGCTCCCATATTGTCTGCATATCCCCATGTTCTTCTCACTGATAATATTTGTTTTAAACTTGTCAAAGAAAAACGAGCAGTTGCATTTCTTAACAGTAATTTAGCTCATAAAGTGTTCTAGACATTACCCTTGTTGCTAATCCACGTTTATTTATGCATGCCTTTGTCTTGCAGAAGTGAAACCTTTTTCATCATATTTCTTAGGCAAATATAGTCAAGGCTTTTGGGGTTTCTCGTCAGGTGATCTGCATGTGGTAACACTAAAGGAAGTTTTGAACAGGCTGTTGTTGTGGACACACCCTTAATTTTGTGCTTGGATTCTTTTTTCTACCTCATACATGAAGCACTTGCCAAGAGGGTTGTTGGAATAGGAGAAGGTTCTTCGAACTTGTCCCACTGCTTTCTCTTTGATGCAGCGCTAGCC